CCCGAAAAATATCAAAAAATTTAATTCGTAAACGTTCGAAAAATATAAAAATAAAAATAAAAGCCATAGAAACAACTCAGTTTTTTTTGAATTGTACCAGTCAACTTAGAATATCGATACAAATAAAATATAAAATTTTACATTTTTTCGTGACTGCCCGAAAAATATCAAAAAATTTAATTCGCAAAAGTCCGAAAAAATATAAAAATCAAGAAGAATACATAAAAACACCTCAAAAAATTCTCGAATCGCACCAGTCACCTTAGAATATAAAAACAAATAGAATATCAAAATTCGAATTTTTTTCAAAGCTGCCCAAAAAATATCAAAAAGTTTAATTCGTAAATGTCCGAAAAATATAAAATCAAGAAAAATACATAAAAACAACTCAAAAAATTCCTGAATCGCACCAGTCAACTTAGAATATCGATACGAATATAATATCAAAATTTTAAATTTTTTCGTGACTGCCCAAAAATTAACTAAAAATTTAATTCGTAAACATCCGAAAAATACATAAAAATACCTCAAAAAATTTTCAAATCGCACCAAACACCTTAGAATAACAATACGAATAAAATATCCAAATTTCACATTTTTTGGTGACTGCCCGAAAAATATCAAAAAATTTAATTTGTAAACGTCCTAAATATATAAAAATAAAAAAATAAAGAAAAAGATATAAAAACACCTCAAAAATTTTTAGAATTGCACTTGTCACCTGATACGTCCAAACTTACACTGCGAATAAGATGTGTAAACAGTCGTTGTCAATTTTCAAAACTGAACTAGAGTTGAGGTCAATCCCACAGAGAATTTCTTTACAGAAAAGGTTTCAGTGTCGCGTTTATTCAAATGTTGTTATATCTCCTAAACAAATAACAACGGAAAGTAAATTGGGTTTGGTTGAAATGTTATAATTACCAAAACTTGCAGTCAAAAATCCAGATTCACGACTAACAGACTATTTTGTTGTAAGGTTGATTCAGTTAATTACAAGAAACCAGGATTGTGTTCACCATAACATTCGTTCTAGTGTTCTTCCGTAATTGAGCGTCAGGCAAATCAATGTTTACAGAATCATTGCGAGTTAAATTTATCTGACACTTCTCAGCCTAATCAGATAATTATCACTCATGTTCTCTCGACCCTAGAGTGTTACTAACATTGACCCTCGCTTACAATGGTATTGTGTTAAAGTTCTTTTCTTTCGAATTCAAACTTTAACTCAAATTTGTTAATTTAGTTCAGATTTTTCCTAACTAGTATTTTTCTATCGAAAAAATACCAGATACAGGCTCATCTAATGCGTGCACTCACTAGATTATAACGATATTGAAAGCTAAAAACTACAGATTGTAAACACAGACTGCCCTTTACTCGTTTTATGGGATCGTAACTAGAATTTCGCCATGGATCCCACAACCCCAGTCGTGGTATTTAGCCATTCATGCTTTCACGTAAACAATCAGTAATGGTGAATGAAAACATGTTAAGAAAGACTTACGAAAATAATTAGCAAATCAACAATCACTTCGATAATCTGAATTCGAACTTCAAACTGATAACAATAATCGAAATCCTAAATCAAAAGCTAAGAGTCATGCGTCTTTCTTAGTCGTAAAACGTAAGATAATGAATAATATCCAAAAAACGACCTAAAGTAATTCAAAATAGAATGTTTAAAATGAGTCCTAGTCGAACTAGGACTGAAATGTTGGGTGGCTCTACGACCAAGTAACATCTTTGTCTGTGTTGTTTTACCCCATACTTGGTCAGAAGCGCACTGAACACCTTGTTGCAAAAGTGAGAACCACCTGATAATGGCTCTGGGTGTTCCAAACCTTGAGAAGATGTTCTTTTTCAGGAAACCAGCAACACTCTTTCCATCGTTCTCAGGTAAAGTAACAGCCTTAACCCATTTGGACACATAGTCCACTGCAACCAGTATATACTTCTGTCCATATGAACTCACAAATGGGTGCATGAGATCAATGCCCCACACATAAAACAATTCCACCTCCAGAATAGGTGTCATGGGTAACTCACGACGCCGAGAGATAGCTCTTTGCCGCTGGCACACATCACAACTCCTTACCACATCCATCGCATCATGATGAATTGTGGGCTAGTAGTACCCACACTGAAGTATCTTGTGGGATGTTCGAGTACCTCCATGATGACCACCTACTGGAGATGAGTGACAAGCCTCTAAAATATGTAGCATCTCAGCTTTAGGAATGCACCGCCTGATGATGTTATTAACGCAAATCATGTACAAATATGGTTCGTCCCAGAAATACTTACCTACATCATGCATGAACCTCTTTCTTTGCTGAAATGTTAGTCCTTCAAGCATTACATCACTAACAAGAAAATTATCATAATCAGCAAACCAAGGAATAAGGTCAAGAGTTGCAGCTAATACCTGCTCATCCGTGAATGTATCATCTATTTCAAGCTCAAGCTCTTCATTCTTTGCAGCCTCCAACCTAGACAGGTGATCAGCTACCTGGTTCTCACATCCTCTCCTATCCTTCACTTCAAAGTCAAACTCTTGGAGAAGCAGCACCCATCGGATCAGCCTAGGCTTGGCATCTTTCTTTGCCATGAGGTATCTCAGGGCAACATGATATGTATGAATTATCACCTTAGTGCCCAACAAGTAAGCTATGAACTTTTCAAACGCATATACCACCGCCAATAGCTCCTGCTCAGTGACTGTGTAGTTTCACTGTGCCCGATTCAGCGACTTACTAGCATAGTAAATTGGATGAAACATCTTGTTGCACTTTTACCCCAACACAACTCGTAGCGCAATCCCACTAGCATCACACATTACCTCAAACGGCTCCGCCCAGTCTGGGCCAATGATCACTGGTGCTGAAACCAACTTTTCCTTTAGGTACTCAAATGCTTTGAGACATGCCTCATCATAGACAAATTTCACCTCCTTCTCCAAAAGCTTGCACATGGGGTGTGCAATTTTGGAGAAATCCTTGATGAAACGCCTATAGAACCCGACATGTCCTAGGAAGCTACGAACACTCTTCACACAGATTGGTGGAGGTAATTTTTCAATCACCTCAATCTTGGCCTTGTCGACCTCGATTCCTTTCTGTGACACCTTGTGTCCAAGGACTATGCCTTTCTTTACCATGAAATGACACTTCTCCCAATTCAGCACTAAGTTGGCCTCATCGCATCTCTGTAGGGCCCTGCTAAGATTCAACAAACCATCATCGAAAGTATCACCTACTACAGATAAATCATCCATAAATACCTCTAAAGTGTCCTCCACCATGTTAGAGAAAATGGACATCATACACCTTTGGAATGTGGCTGGTGCATTACATAGTCTAAATGGCATGCGTTTAAATGCAAAAGTGCCATAAGGACATGTAAATGTGGTCTTTTCCTGATCTTCATGAGCAATTGATATCTGGTTGTAGCCAGAGTATCTATCTAAGAAACAATACCACCCTTTACCTGCAAACCTATCAAGCATCTGGTCCATGAAAGGCATTGGGAAGTGATCCCTCAAAGTCCACTTGTTCAGCTTCCTGTAGTCCATACACACTCGCCATCCAGTGACTGGGTTCTGCGGGACTAACTCATTCTTGGCATTTGCCACCATAATCATAACGCCTTTTTTGGGCTCACATTGCACTAGACTGACCCAATGACTATCAGAAATGGGATAGACCACCCCATCATCTAACCACTTGATTATCTCTTTTTTAACTACCTCCTGTATAAGTGGGTTTAGCCTCCACTGGTGTTCAATGCTTGGGCTGTAGTCCTCCTCAAGCTGAATCTTGTGGGTGCATATACTCGGAGGTATTCCAATTATATCAGCAATGGTCCACCCAATGGCCCTTTTGTACCTTCTCAACACTTTGATCACCTCCTGCACCTACTCTTCATTTAAATCTGCAGCCAAGATCACAGGTAAAGTGTTATTAGTACCCAAAAATACATACATGATGTGACATGGTAACTGTTTCAGTTCCAGCACTGGTGGCTCCTCGATGGATGGTTTTGCTAGAGGGCTTGGACTGTTTTTCAAGTCCAGGTCCAATTTCTTTGGAGCATACGAGTGTGCTCCCATACCCTGCAAAGCATTCACAGTCTCTACATAATCTGACCTGAAATCAGCTTCGAAGTTCATCAGCACTGCAACTAATGTTTCAACAACCATCCTCTCTTCAATGGGTACTCTCATTTCTTCATCAGGAACCACCTCTATTGCAGATACTACATTCATATCTTGTGGTTTTTTCATTGACCTGAAAATATTGAACTTTACCTCGTCTGTGTTGAGTTTGAACTTCAACTCTCCTCTCTCCTCTCTCAACATCCACCAAAGCTCTTCATGTGGCCAAAAAGGGTCTTCCAAAAATGATGGGAACCACAAAGTCCACTTCACAATCCAAGATCATAAAATCAGCTGGAAAGATGAAGGTGTCCACCTTAACAAGTACGTCACAAAGGACTCCCACTGGCCACTTTACTGACCTATCAGCCATTATCAACCTCATCGTTGTGGGTCTTGGAACTCCCAATCCCAATTTCTTGTAGATGGCTAATGGCATCAAGTTGATGCTGGCTCCTAAATCACACAAAGCTTTTGCAAACTTAATTGACCTAATGGTGCATAGGATAGTAAATGCACCTGGATCTTCCTTCTTCTGAACCAGAGATCTGGTAGCAATGGCTCTGTAATGATGAATATCGTTAGTAAAATCAAGACTTACAGTTCTCTTGTTTGTAACCAAGTCCTTTATGAACTTGGCATGTCCTGGCATCTGTTCCAGGGTTTCCACCAGTGGTATGTTTACTGAAAGTTGCTTCAACATGGTGATGAACTTTGTAAGTTTCCTATCTTTAGCTTTCTTTTTGAGCCTTTGAGAGAAAGGGGGAGGTGGTATGGGAATCTGCTGTAAAGGCAGGTTTTCCTCGACCTCTTTCTCCTTTCCTCTCGTAGGTTGTGCTTTAGGCTAAGGATCCTCCAAATCATCCACCTGTTCAGCTTCATCCTCTTCTCTGACAGCTTTCTCTAACACCTGTTCATGTTTAGTACCTGCAGAAATAGGGTCAGTAAGAACTTTACCACTCCGGTGGCGATGGCCATGCAGTGTCCGTCCTTCTTAGGATTTTGGATGGTGTCACTTGGTAGTGACCCATTCTTCCTCTGATTTAGTGAGGCTGAAAGTTTTTTAAAAAATTAAAATTTGGACCAAGTCCATTCTATTAGCAAATAAAAATTCATCACATAAAACTTAGGTCCAAAAGTGACCCAAGTCCCAAAAACAAAAATAGCACAACCAAAAAGATACTCCATTAGGAAACAAAGGAAGCTACAGCCGCAATGGCTGCTTCTTCTTCATCTTCAAACAAATCGACGGCTCCCCTGGAAAATTCAAGCACTTCGTCATTAGAAGATCCTCCGGGTGATCCGTCTACCTCGTCATAGCTGCTAGATCGATAAAGATCCAAGTATGGATTGTAATCACCTTAACATAAAAAATTCTCACTGATGTCATGATTCAACAGCCATTGAATACTTCTTCTACTTGTATGCGGACGATCTGAACCTGGGTTATTAACAAAGCTGAAATACGCCAAAAACAATCAGTGACAGAGCGGTGTAAGATGAGTATCTTGTCTTTACTTCATTTATGCAATTTGGTACTCAGTCTTTTGATTAGTCTCATCAACAGGTTGAACCCCATCGGGATTAATATCACTGTTTAAGGCGACACATCTTGGACGTTGTAACCAAACTATTTATGGCTCGGAGATCAATAGTACATCTCCTATCCCTTATATTGTTGAAGACGATTTATCATTCTAAACCTATTGTAATTGTTGTTCTCATCCATTGTAGCTTCTGTTTTGCACTTTCCTAATCCTCAAATTAGGTATATTTGTTTTCTCTAGTTGCAATATTGTCCTAGCCTTCTGTGATAGATCCTGAATGTTATGATATTGTTATTTCTCAATTCCTACACAATGAACAAACGATTTAGTAAAAAAATCAGCTAGGTTGTTTCCCTCTATGAAAGTATGGACCACTTCCACTCCATGGTTCTTTATCAATTGCTTAATGGGCCTGACTTCCCAAGCGATCTTCCATGGAACCTCCCACACTCCATTTAGTGCTTTCTGAGCTAACAGAGAATCAATTTCTATAATCAAGGGTATCAAGGTCTTCTAAATACAGTAATATAGTCCCTCTTTAATTGCTATGATCTCAGCCTCCAAAATTGAATCCTTAGTAACCTCTTTAGATTTTGCATACACCAACTGCTGCTCAATTTTTTTAATAGAGGTGGTGTGAGAGTCCACTAACTGACTCATGCTCGAGAAATCACCTCTCATTTTTTTTACCCCTACATCAGTTGATTCAACTTTCTGGAGTACCTTAGCCATCATGTCTTCCAGCTTAGACCCGCTGGAACTACCATTTGCCCAGTCTCTATTACCTGGGGGAACATAAACACCACTGCGATCATTCCTATACCCATCTTTGTTCCAGTTTCCCTGATCTCTATTTGCTGGCCTATCATATTGACCATCCCTAGCATAGTTCTGACCTGCATTTCCAGAATTGTAACCTTGATTTCCAGAGTTATAATTCCGGAAACCTCCTTGGTTCCCTAAGTAGTTATCTTCCTCATCAAGGTCAATATCCTGATCCTCATACCTGTTTTGCTGTCTCACAACATTTACCTTTTTAGACTTGGCTATGATATGCTTTGTGAGCAGATCTATTTGTGTCCGCATATATGCCATGCCTTGGTCCCTTTCTTCTTCTCTCTTCCTCTGTTCAGCTGAAAGCTCAAATGTATAACCAAGCTCTCCTACCTCTGCATCTCTAGTATACCAAGCCCTGTTGTTCTTTGACACTTCATCTAATAGCTGCATGCTCTCTGAGAATGGCTTTCTCATGAATAAACCTCCACAAACTGCATCAACAACATGTTTAGTGACATAGTTTAACGATCTATAGAAAGCTTGTTCCAGATGTCTCTCAGTAAGATCATGGTTAGGACATTTCTTCAGCTTTTGGCTGAATCTCCACCAAGTGTCATGCATTGCTTCTCCTGGTAGTTGCTTGTGTGTACTTATCTCGTCCTTCATCTGCAACTCTTTTGATTCTGGGAAGAATCGTTCCAGGAAAGCTTCCTTCAGCTCCATCCATGTTGTGATAGAGTCGTCTAGAATCTCATTCAACCAGTTAGTTTGCTCTCCGGTAAGAGACAATGGAAACAGCCTCAATCTCATCGCTGTTTGGCTCACTCCAGGAATCTCTTGTGACTTACAATTCCCACAAAGTTCATCAGATGATGATTTGCATCATCACCAGTCCCTTAAACATACCTTTCAGGTTCAACAATTGAATCATAGTGCTAGTAATTGTGAACTTAACACCTGGAGGTAGTGCAGGTAACACTATAGCTCCAGTGGCTCCAACTCCATCCAAGTCATCATCATCTTCTTCATACATCATGTGGGCTGGATGATGAGGTCTACCACTTGGGGCTATTGGTTGGCGTTGGGGAGGGATTAATCCTTGCACCCCTCTGTTATCATCTACTGCCCTAGGCTGATTGATTCCAGCATTTTCCTGGATACCTTGCCTAGGTTGATTGATTCCAGCAGTTTGCTCGACATTCCTTGCAGCATCAATTTCATCTTCTAAGCCCTATTTGTGCCTCTGAGCCTCTAGTTCTTGTGCATTAACCATCTTTCGAATAGTTCTCTGAAATTCAGGGTCGTAAGGAAGCAATGGGGCTCCTTTACTTCTAGTGTTGGGCATGCACAATCGGACTCACATGAAAGAGACCCAACCACAGAACAAAACGTAAAATTAGGAAATATAACTACAAATCGAATAAAAGTTAGTAAAACACTTCTAAATTAAAATTCCCCGGCACCGGCACCGGCACCAAAATTTGATACGTCCAAACTTACACTTCTAATAAGAAGTGTAAATAGTCATTGTCAATTTACAGAACTCAACTAGAGTTGAGGTCGATCCCACAGAGAATTTATTTACAGATAAGGTTTCACTGTCGCGTTTATTCAAATGTTGTTATTATCTCCTAAACAAATAACAACGAAAAGTAAATTGGGTTTGGTTGAAATGTTATAATTACCAAAACTTGCAGTAAAAAATCCAGATTCACGACTAACACACTATTTCGTTGTAAGGTTGATTCAGTTAATTAAGAGAAACCAGGATTGTGTTCACCATAACATTCGTTCTAGTGTTCTCCGTAATTAAACATCAGGCAATGTTTACAAAATCATTGCGAGTTAAATATATCTGACACTTCTCAGCCTAATCAGATAATTATTACTCATGTTCTCTCGACCCTAGAGTGTTACTAACATTGACCCTCGCTTACAATGGTATGGTGTTAAAGTTCTTTTCTCTCAGACTCAAACTTTAACTCAAATTTGTTAATTTAGTTCAGCTTTTTCCTAACTAGTATTTTTCTCTCGAACAAATACCAGATACAGTCTCATCTAATGTGTGCACTCACTAGATTATAACGATATTGAAAGCTAAAAACTACAGATTGTAACCACAGACGGCCCTTTACTCGTTTTACGGGATCGTAACTAGAATTTCGTCATGGATCCCACAACCCCAGTCGTGTATTTAGCCACTCATGCTTTCACGTAAACAATCAGTAATGGTGAATGAAAACATGTTAAGAAAGACTTACGGAAATAATTAGCAAATCAACAATCACTTCGATAATCTGATAATCTGATAATCTGAATTCGAACTTCAAACTGATAATAATAATCGAAATCCAAAATCAAAAGCTAAGAGTCATGCGTGTTTCTTAGTCGTAAAATGTAAGATAATGAATAATATCCAAAAAATGACCTAAAGTAATTCAAAATAGAATGTTTAAAATGAGTTGTAGTCGAACTAGGACTGAAATGCCAGGTGGCTTTACGACACTTCTACGGCTCGTAGAGGGCTTCACAGACCGTGAAACCCTCCGTGATCTTCCCTTGGAAACTCCCCAAAAGTTGCTCTTCAAACTCGATCATTGGAACTTGCATCACGGGCGAGGCCACAGACAGTCATTAGGGACCACGACCCGTGAACTTGGTCTTGGTCTTTTTTTGACCGATCCAAATTTCAACTCTTCGAAGTCCATCTACTGGTTCATCATCACGACGGGTACCACGGTTCGTAATGACCTTCACTGCCCATAAAGGTGCCCGTGACTTTAACTTGGCCCCACACTTAACAACTTCTTTTAACCTCTTCTCTGGTTCAACATTACGTTCACAACCACGGTCCGTAATGAGGACCACGGCCCGTGAAGTTGGTCGTGATCTTCACTTGTTCATTCCACTTTCAGCTCCTCTCAAGCCTTCACACAAGTTCAATTTCACGGGCTCAACCACGGACCGTTATGAAGGTCACGGACCGTGAGGTTGGCCGTAAACTTCCCTTAGTCATCATCATTCTCTGCTTCTTTTTCCACTTTTCTACACATGCCAGATTCTGTCTGCATCATTAACAAACATATCAAAGTATACAAAAATAGACTTAATTATAGTATTAGTTCCTCGTTTTTAAGCATCAAATGTCCCAAGATTTCGCGGCACATCATCAACTTAGATTTTTGATACGAATAATTATCAAATTTGACATTTTTTCGTGACTGCCCAAAAATATCAAAAATTTTAATTCGTAAACACCCAAAAATTATAAAAATAAAAAAAAGACATAAAAACACATTAAAAAATTCCTGAATTTCACCAGTCACCATAAAATATCGGTACCAATAAAATATCAAAATTTCACATTTTTCGTGATTGGCTGAGATATCAAAAATTTAAATTTGTAAACGTACGAAAAATATAAAAATCAAGAAAAGGACATAAAAACACCTCAAAATATTTCCGAATCGCACCAGTCACCTAGAATATCGAATGAATAAAATATCAACATTTCACATTTTTTCGTGACAGCCCGAGAAATATAAAAAATTTTAATTCGTAAACATCTGAAAAATATAAAAATCAAGAAATAGACATAAAAACACATCAAATAATTCCTGAATCGCACCTATCACCTTAGAATATCGATACGAATAAAATTTCAAAATATCACATTTTTTCATGACATCCCTAAAAATATTTAAAAAATTAATTTGTAAACATTCGAAAAATATAAAAATAAAGAAAAAGACATAAAAATGCCTCCAAAAATTTCCAAATAACACCAATCACCTTAGAATAACGATACGAATAAAATATCAAAATTTCACATTTTTTCGTGACTGAACGAAAATATCAAAAAATTTAATTCGTAAACGTCAAAAAAATTTAAAAATAAAGAGAAAGATATAAAAACACCTCAAAAAATTCCAGAATCGCACCTGTCACCTTAGATTTTCGATAAGAATAATTATCAAAATTTCACATTTTTTCGTGACTACACGAAAAATAAAAATATTTAATTCGTAAACGTCCGAAAAATATAAAATAAAGAAAAGACATAAAATATCTCAAAAAATTACTAAATCAACTAGTCACCTTAAATATTGATACAAATAAAATATCAAAATTTTACATTTTTTTGTGACTATCCGAAAAATATCAAAAATTTTAATTTGTAAACATTTGAAGAATATAGAAATCAAGAAAAAGACATAAAAACACCTCAAAAAATTCCCGAATAGCACCAGTCACCTTAGAATATCGATATGAATAAAATATCAAAATTTCACATTTTTTCTTGAATACTCGAAAAATATAAAAAAATTTGATTCGTAAACGTCCGAAAAATATGAAAATTAAGAAAAATACATAAAAATACTTCAAAATATTTCTGAATCGTACCAGTCACCTTAGAATATCTATACGAATAAAATATCAAAATTTCACATTTTTTCGTAACTGCCCGAAAAATATCAAAAATTTTAATTCGTAAACGTCTGAAAAATATAAAAATCAAGAAAAAGACATAAAAATACCTCAACAAATTTCTGAATCGCACCAGTCATCTTAGAATATCGATACAAATAAGATATCAAAATTTCACATTTTTTTGTGACTGTCCGAAAAATATAAAAATATTAATTCATAAACATCCCAAAATAATAAGAATCAAGAAATAGACATAAAAACAAATCAAAATATATCCGAATCGCACCAGTCACCTTATAGTATCGATACAAATAAAATATCAAAATTTCAAATTTTTTCGTGACTTCTTGAAAAATATCAAAAGTTTTAATTCGTAAATGTCTGAAAAATATAAAAATAAAGAAAAAGACATAAAAGAACCTTAAAAAATTCCCGAATCGCACATGTCACCTTAGAATATCGATACAAATATAATTTCAAATTTTAACATATTTTGATGAGTGCCCGAAAAATATCAAAAATTTTAATTTGTAAACGTTCGAAAAATATAAAAATCAAGAAAAAGACATAAAAACACCTAAAAAAATATTTTGAATCGCACCACTCACCTTACAATATCGATACGAATGGAGTATCAGAATTTCACATTTTTTCGTGATAGCCTGAAAAATATCAAAAATTTTAATTCGTAAATGTCCAAAAAATATAAAAATAAAGAAATAGACATAAAAATACCTCAAAAATTCTCAAATCGCACCTGTCACCTAAGAATATCGATACGAATAAATAATCAAAATTTCACAGATTTTCGTGGCTACCCTAAAAGTATAAAAAAAATTAATTCGTAAACGTCTAAAAATATAAAATCAAGAAAAAAATATAAAAACACCTGAAAAAATTCTCGAATCAAACTAGTCACCATAGAATATCGATACTAATAAAATAAAAAAATTTCACATTTTGCTGTGACTGCCCGAAAAATATCAAAACTAGTAATTCGTAAATGTCCAAAAAAAATAATAATCAAGAAAAAGACATAAAAACACCTCAAAATTTTTTTTGAATCGCACCAGTCGCCTTTGAATATCGTACTGAATAGAATATAAAAATTTCACAATTTTTCGTGATTGCCTGAAAAATATCAAAATATTTGATTCGTAATCGTCCGAAAACTATAAAAATCAAGAAAAAGACATAAAAACACCTCAAAAATTCCCGAATTGCACCTGTCACATTAGAATATCGATACGAATAAAATATCAAAATTTCACATTTTTTTGTGACTGCCTGATAAATATTAAAAAATTTAATTCGTAAAATTCTAAAAAATATAAAAATAAAGAAAAAGATAAAAAAAACACCTCAAAAAATTCTCGAAT